GCGGCCGGCCGGGGCCCGTTAGTGTAATTGCCCTGTCCGGCTGGGTGGGAGCGCCTCTGCGCCTGCTTGGCCGGCGCCTCCTTCCTCGCCCCGTGTGATTCCTGGGGGGCTGAACGTCTTCATAGTACGGTGGTTGGAGAAGTGTGCAGCTAGTAAGAGAAATAGTAGTCGGATTCAGCCTTTGGAGTTTTTCGCTGTTGAAGTACCGTTAAGTAGCAGTGAGAGAACTGACCTTTTCCCCTTTGATGTCCAGTCCCTACAAATACAACCCGTGTTGCCACAGTCCTCAGTCAACGTTTTTCAGCCCATCGGCATTTTAGAAGCCGTTAGTGTTTAAAAAGTGACATTGTCCTTCCTGCTGCTTTTTCAGCCAAAGCAGCAAGTGAGTAAAGGAACGTTAAAATGAGTTTGGTTGTAGAGTACAGCCAGCCTTCGCGCTTGCATGGCGTTCCGTTTCACGCACGCCTACGAGTCACCGTGTCTCTGGTCGTACTTCGTCCCAGCCTGATGCTGATTGATGCCTAAGGAAATAAATATACTCCTTGACAGCAGATAGTTAAACTTTTACTTGTCTAAATAGTTATTTTATGTTATTAGGTGCTCAAGATACAGTGTTACACATCATGAACGCCCATTCTCTATTGCTTATTGCAGCCTCAGCAGCATATGCTTCGAGTTACTTCCAGCTTGTCTTACCTGTCGTCTTCAGACAGAATTTCTCTTGGTTCTGCTTTCAAGGCATAAAAGGAGAAGCATAGACAATTGTATACAATGTCATTGTCATGACCTGCATCAGCATAACTTTATGTAAATGCTGAAATGCAAGGTCTAGCCAATTCTAGTCTCTGTTGAAGGAGATGAGGCATAATTTTAAGTGGTCACAGAAGGAAAAAAATTGTTTTCCTCTTATGATTGATACTTGAGCATCCTTTGACATGTAGAATCCAGAGGGATTTGGCAATTTGATAGTGCATGCCTATGAAAATGTAGGATGTGAGAGAGGAAGAGTTTTCAAAGTGCTTCCTTCTGGCAGCATCAGGTTAAGACAGCTGCTGATACAGAAGTTAGTGCTGTTTGGCTGAATATATACATCTCTCTGCCGTTTTAATCTTATAATTTCACTCCATGTTGTCTGACCAACCCTACTCTGCTACCGCTTATAAAATGGAAGCCAGAGTCATGTGGAGGGGGTCTCTGCTGTTACTCTTTACGACTGTAGCCTGTGGGAATAGATTATGTTCTTGATGTAAGACTTTGCTACCGTCTTGTGACCAATGAGACTAACCCAGGCATAGGTGAGCTTTTCAGTGAAATAACACTGCTTGTGTTTGATACTGGATTTTCTATGTATTGCATTCCCATTTTTTGGACTGTTTGACTGGGCTCTGTGTTGAATAAAATAATTACTGGTTTATCTTTTTCTTCTGGTTGCAGATACAAATGACTCTCCTGTCAAACTGAACCATGAGTCTCGCATTACACGATCTGCTCATTTGTTGTCGTCGCCTTGAAAATGAGAAGGCTGTGGAGCGAAGGGTAAATAAGTTTTCTTTTGGTATGTGTGCTTCAGTTAGCAATGAAGGGAATCATTAATAAATCTTTTTTTCTTGAAATAAATTTACAGAAGGAAATCGAAAATTTCAAGCGTCTTCTCCATGATTCTGAAACAGTTCTCCAGCTGGACCGGAATTCTGATGCTAAGCAAGGAAAGCAACTCAACTGGGATGCTGTATTTAGGTAGTTTCTTTTTTTTTCTGTTTGCGAATGGTAACAAATTTCTTACATGGCCCATCATTCTTTTGTTTATCGAGCCTGTTTTAATGCTTATGTTTCTGCAGATTGATTTAGACTCTTTGTCAGCTTGTACACAAGAAATGAGTCATGTTCATTTATAAAACAAGTAAATGTAAAATAGCCAAAAATGCAACTCTTACCACATAGAGAAAACTTAACTGTTAGGAAACTGATCATTAACTGGGTGGTAGTTTTTCCTTGCAAAAATAATAGTTACTTTCTTTTATTGAAAATTATTCTCTGCATCTGATTTTCAATGTATAGTTCATCTGTAGATACAGATAGCTCATTAGAATTTTTTGTGTTACTGGGTTCTCCAAGACACAGTAGCAGGACTGTGGCCTTAGTGAAATAAAGATGCTGTGCTGAGGTTTGTAGAGGCCCAGCTTTGATACAATCTGCTTTAGGTGTACTACAAGATTGCACTGAGCGTGAGTGTGATAAGTTCTTAGGGCAGCTGGGACCAGTGTTACATTTCATATTAAAAGTGCATCTGAACTATTAGTTTTCATAGGCTGGTGTCTGCTCAGCTTTCCATTATGTTTTTTTATTGGACAGCACTGGAATCATAGAATCATAGAATGTTGGAAGGGTCCTTAACGATCATCTGGTTCCAGATGTTTGAATAGTTGTTTCATAGATGTACCAAAAATATCTTAAGAAATATGGCTAAATTTTATATATTGTTTTTGAGATGGTCAATAATATATTAGAAATACATAGGAGCAATACAAAAATAGAAAGTCTAAACTGAATATAAATAGTTGGCTAGGAGATCAACAGTAATTGGCAGTGACAAAGCTAGTGAAAGGTTTAATCCATTCTTAGATCTAAAATCTAATCTGTATGTTAATTTTAAATGATGGAGAAATAGGACTTGAAGGTGTTCGCAGTAAAAACAATGAAAACTAATATATTTCGGTTGGTTTTAGTCTTTGGTAAATAGAATTGTGAAAAGAGCAAGCACTGACATTCTAGGCTGAAACAACATTTACCTATTTTACTTTAGTCATAGATGTGCGGATCTTTGATTAATATCTCCCTTATTTTTGAAGTGTCTTGCAGAAATATTTCCAGAGAGAAATCAAAAACCTGCAGCTCATGAAGCCGAACGCATCTGCTTCAACCCAAACTACCAGACAGAAAAAGATGCAAGAAGTTGGAAGTTTGCTTAAATATTTCATCAGATGTGCTAATAAAAGTCAGTAATGTATATTCACAAAGAATTACTGGTTTGCTTTGTTTTGGTGTTTTCCTTTCAACTTTGAATTTTTATTCTGAAGTGGGTTACCGGGGTAGGGTTCATCTTGCTCGCTTCTTGGTGTTTACAATTTCAATATCTTTGTGTAAATCAGGCCTTTGTGCTCCCCCTCTGTCCTTATTGATGTTCACAGTGCCTTTTCCTAATTATTTAGTGTGTACATAACTGAGGTATCCTCTCATAACTATCATAAGTAATTTCTTAGGTGGTTTAAGAGGACTCCTATCAAAACTGTTCCTGAAGTGTGCGTTTTTGGGGTTTCTTTTATTTTTAATTTGGCTCACTCTGGGTTAATACAGTCAGTCTCACATTGTTTCTTCGTGCAGGAGGACCCAGACTGAAATGTCAGGAACTTCTGATTTACGTCTTGGAAATTATAAGAGATCCAACAAGTTGTGCTGCTTATGGATCTGACTGTAGCAGTATACTCCTAAAAGATATCCTTTCAGTAAGGAAATACTGGTGTGAGATATCCCAGCAGCAGTGGTCAGGTAACATCTTTAAGCCTACTTACAAATGTTTTTCCTATTATAGAAGCATGTGTAGGTGCATTTTCATTTGTTTGATGCCCTCTTGTGTGAGGTACTACACAAAGCATGGTGTAAAACAGTGTCAGCCTTGAAGGCTTACAGTTGAAATAAACAAACCAGCAAAGATTATGAACTGATTTTTTTTCCTTCCTGCAGGCTGGTTGTCTATTGCTTGCTATGTGTAAGTGTACGTACATACAATCAGGTTATGTATGCATGATCTCCCCAGGACTTAACACGTATAACAAATCCAGGGAATCTGGAGGAAGTCAGACTTAAATCCATTACATGAAACAAGTTGCTTTTATTAAAAGAGGGGTATATGAGCTTTGTAAAGGTGATTATAACCTTTTTTAGCGATTCCACCTTAACGTTCTCTTATTTTTTGAGTGCTTTTTGTTCATGTGCTTGTTCTGCTGAAGGTTTTTGTTCCCATTCAGATTCTAGGCTTTGTGTAAAGTTGTGTGCTTTCCTTGCATGTGCCTTCCCCACTCCGAGGGGGAGTCAGCAGAGAGCATGGAGAGTGGATGTGAAAGAGTTCATCCAGTAAGTGCTCCGCAGGAGTGGTTTCCCAGCCTGAGCAGGTCGCAGTAGGAGTCCCCTGCCGGCACAGGGAGCATTGGCTGTGGGCTGCTGTGACCTTGGGCTGCAGTGCACTTGGAGTTGCGCAGAGCCCACTGTTCTGAGTGTGTTGGGATGTCACTGCTGCACATTCCACTTCCACCCTTTATGCAGAAGGGACATAGTAAACTGGGCTTTGGCACTGTTGTCACCAGGTTAAAGCTTTGTGAGCCAGTAATATAAGGGTATGAACTGTCTGCTTCCCATGATTCAGAAAATCACCTGAGTTCTGCAAATGACCCTATGCCTGCTTGGGATGAAAGTGCTGGTATCTCTGTTGGATCTGAGGCCAGAGTTACAAAAGACTTGGTGAAGGCGGCATTACGAGTCCTTCTGGAGTCCAAGATGTCCGTAAATCTATAAAGGCCTGCACAGTGATGAAGCAGTAGTGTTGCAGTTTATTTATAGTTGTCTCAAGCTGGCTTTTCCACAGTGCAAGACTCCAGAGCTCAAGACCCTGGGTGATGCCATCAGTATCACCCATGCTGAGTATTCAAAAGAAGAGGTTCTGAGAGAGTGCCTCAGAGGCCTTCATCCGGACTGTCTGTGGAGAGCATACTCACCCCAAACTGATGTGCTACTGACCAGTAGGGTTGAGGGTTGTCAGGCTCTTTTAGGTCATAGTCACCCTACGGAGCAGAATTGCAGTAACTGGTTATTCTGCATGCCAAGGACTGTGATACAGCTGCTCTGGGCTCATGTCTGGTTGACTGAAGGAAGTAGTTATAGTGGCTGGGATTCCCAAAAGATCATTCTACTTCTGTTTTTCCTTAGAGAAAAGGAGGCCTGAGAGGAAGATGTCCATTCATTCAAAGTGTAGTCCCACAGTAGCTTCTGGGGTCATAGGACTGAATCAGTATTTCTTACCATTCTTTACAGTGGATATCATTCATTGGTGGACTGAGGGACAGTATCATGTCACTTACAGATGGCGTAAATGAAATAAAACAAGAGTTTTGTTTGTGTCGTGTTAAACTGATGGTGATGGTTGGATCAGTAATGTGCTGCTGTGATTTGTATGAGGCTGATGAAAGGACAGCGTGATGATTCCTAAGTGGGCCTCGAGATGAGAAAGCAAAAATATGAAGGAGGGGCCTCAGAAAACTTGTAAATGAGTGCAAAGCATGGATGTGTTGGTCTGCAGGCTGAAGTGAACTAGCAGAATTGCATGTCATGGAAATACGGGGAGCCTCAGTACAAAACGTTCTCATCTGTTCACCTGTTCCTGCTGCACCAAATGCTTTGTTCATGTATCTGTGGCTGTAAATTGTTTCTGAGTACTTTATTGTGCATTCCGCAGCAAATGCAGCCCGCTGTGCTGAGCAGTCGTCGATGTAGAGTAGAAGCTGAGTGTGGAAGTAGTTCTGAAAGTTGGTTGTGTGCCTATAGCTACTTCGCCCATTGTAATACAAAGCAGATTGTATCCCAGCTCAGAATGAATGTAACTTTACTTTCAGTATAGGCAAGACTGCATGTTTTTTCCCCCTGTTAACTTCTGTGAATAACAGCATGCAGCTGAATCCAGAATGGTGGTTTCTGTATATTTAATGAAATATTTTGCTTCAAGCATTTTTTATGTAATCTTCTGTACTATATATGTTTATATTCCTACTTGTATATTTACAACATATATACACACTATATCATATATACTTCTTTTTAATACACTTTCAGAGTTGCTGGTCCTGTATGGCAAATTATACCTCAAACCTTCTGGGAAGATTAATAGAGTCTTGGTGGCTAGGATAATTCACACACTTACGAGGGGGTACTGCTTCCAAACTGATGGCTTGAGTTCCGATATGTTTATCTTCTTTTCAAAAGCGATGCAGTGTGCGAGGTATGTTGCTAATGCTCCTTTTGTATGCTAATACTTCTAGAGAATAATGTATTTTAAGTATGTGGGATTAGACTTGAGTAATAGCATGTAACACTTCTTTAGACATACTTAGTTCTGTCTTTGAACACCAGTTTAATAGAACCTTTAAAATACCAATAACTTCTGCATTTTGTAGGCAAATTCTGAATATAGTTACTTGCTAGTATTTACATTTAAAGAATTCCTGTGAAAAGAAATAAGATTATTTCTTCTGGAAGTTTAAGTGTTTGGTTTATGTTGCAGGCAGGAGAAGAATACTGCAGGCCTGGATGATATTGTAGGAGCAATGAATATCTTCTGCACTAAGTTTGCTGTCAACTGTCGCATACGGCTTTGTAAAGTAGGGGAAGAAATTTTGCCTACAGTCCTTTATATATGGACTCAGTATAGACCAAAGGATTCCCTGAAAGAAGCAATAATTGAGTTATTTCGTCTCCAAGTTCACATTCATCATCCAAAGGGTGCAAAAACTCAGGGAAAAGGTACAATAAAAAGCTCCCAGTTTGTTGTTTTTGTTTTTTGTGGGGGTTTTTTTGGTTTGGTTTTTTTTTCCCTGTCATGGTATGTGATTGTTTGAATTATTGTGCCAACTTCCTGGATTTTAAAATTTTAAATGTAGGTCTTGGTGACGTTAATGGGAGTGATGATTACTTGTCAGTAGTTTTATGCTGTAGATTAATATTGAGTGAAAGTGAAAATCAGTTTTCAAATTGTATGCGCTAAGAGAATATTAAGTGTATTAAGTCCTATAAAGGTTGATTGGTTCTTTTTTTTAATCAAATGGTGATTTTAATTACTAAATCAAAACACAAGAGTCTTTGGGGGAGGGAAACACCAGTTCAGATTGAGTTTAGGTTGCCGCATGTATTCATATCTTACTAGGTTTATTTAAGCCCAGAAATTACTGCTATGGGTTATATCTGACTTACTGCATAAAACTGGTCAGATAACATCACTCTTTGTCTGTCTTGGCCTATTTCAGTTATAGCATCATTTTTGTAGATGGACTTTTTTTTTTTTACTTTGTCTGCAAATGGCAAAGAGTTTATAATTAGTCCAAATTTATCCATCGCATTTCACTGTAGTCTTTCCAGGTAGCTTAAGAATTGTTTACTAGAAACTTTGTCCCTACCCTAATTGTATATGCTGAACAAATTCTCATTTTTCTCTTTTTTACTTTACTCATTCTGCATTATACGACTTGTTTTGCAGGCCTGCATTTGTTAAGCTCTGTATGCTTTTCTCTGACTGTATTTTGCATTGTCTTGGTAGGTTTACATATTGTATCAAGTGGGTGGTGCATGTTAGCTTTTTTTTGTCTGTACAGGTGCGCATGACTCAGCAAAATGGCAAAGTATCTTACATGACCTGTATGATCTGCTGGTGAACGAAATAAATCTCATCGGTAGTAGAGGAAGGTATTCTTCAGGGTCACGTAATATTGCTGTAAAGGAAAATCTGGTTGAGTTAATGGCTGATATTTGTCATCAGGTAACATTTTTCTTTGAATATAAAGTTGACTATGTATTTCCTGGGTTGTATGTTATGCTTTTTAAAGTAACATGGCTTTAACATTTCCTCAGAATTATTTACGGAAGTTATTAGTACCTTTTGTCTGTGTTCTGTTGTGTTTAGTTGTTAGTTTTTGTGCGGTTTGGAAATGTGTGGAACCCTAAATTACACTAGGTTTCACTAGGTCTAATAGTGTTGCTTATTAGACTATAAACAGAGGCTCTGTTATCCTAAAGAATAACAAATAATAATTCTGGTTGCCTCTAAGAGGCTTTATTCACAGTAAAAACCAGACCAGTTTAGTTTGACATTACAGTTTTCCTGAAAAATGAATAATATTTTTTTTAACTTACCTACTTTTTAATTTCCCTTTATAAAAGGTTTTTGCAGAGGATACCAAAGTTATGGAAATTACCCAGTCATACACTGTTTCACAAAGAGAATCCAGTGGTGAAACACTACCAAGCAAGCGCAGAAGGATTGAAGTAGGCTGGGAGGTTATTCGAGACAACCTGCAAAGATCCCAGAAGGATTTTGATGTCATACCTTGGTAATAACATCTTTACATGAAACAAATATCACTACAGGCATCTTTTTACATTTAAGTGTTCTCCTGAATATCTTGAGCTTTCAAATTAGCTGTCTGCGCGTGCTGTAATTACATATCTAAGCACTAAGCTTAGAATCTAACAACATTTGAAAACTAGTGAGTAGTGTTCTTGGCACTCTTGCTTTAAAAACTTTGTTTCTTTGGTTTCCTAAGGAATAACAACAAAGATACGGTAAACAATGTTGTGGTGTGTAAGATATTACTCCCTCTGATTTCTTACCTGTCTGTTGTGTTTGATATTACCAGTCTTATGTAAGTGTTGTAGGTGTGATCCAGATTACAAGTAGTAGGAAATAACCATGAGATTTACTGCTGTCTTAAGCTGACTGTGTCACAGGACAGCGACCGTTAAGAGTTTGGTCATTTTGGACTAGTTCACAGTTTGCCGTAATACCTGGCCTGAAAACTGTTGAAGTGGTCTGACAGCTTAGCTTAGACCTCAGTTGAGGAGTGTTTTGTTTGACATGGGGGACTGCTGAACTGGATATATAGCTACACATCTAAGGCACATGGAGAATGAGGAGATGATTGGTGAGAGCCAACATGGCTTCACCAAAGGCAGATCGTGCCTGACAAACATGGTGGCCTTCTACGATGGGGTCACGACCTTGGTAGATAAAGGAAGGGCAACCGATGCCATCTACCTGGACTTGTGAAAGTCATTGACACTGTCCTGCACGACGTCCT